GATCTAGAAGATCACCGCGCTGTTCACTTTAAAGGAAACGAAAGATTAAAAAGGTACCGATAATTTGGAACGTCGCTTTCGATTACTCGTGGGCAAGCAGAGACATTGCGTCTTCGCCCACGCAAATTCTGGATGCATTCAAGCGTATGAATCAGTTTCTCCGTTTGCTGAGTTCACGACCGCCTCTCGGCCTCTCATTCAGCGAGCTTTCTCTGCAAGGAGACCGATGGTGGCGATTCAGGAGAGCCTGCTGGATTGGCCTTCGCAGCTGATCGCGAAGCCCGCGGGCGCGGGCCCGTCCGTCACGGTCCAGCGTAGTAGGCAGGAAGATTCTTAGGCAACCGTTGACATTCATCTTCGCCGGCGCGATAGGTCGAGGTGGCGGCGGCATGAGAGCCAGCAGAGGCGTTTGAAGATGTCCCGCAGAGGGCAGACATTTCGCAGCAATGACCCGGGGCCCGTTCCATCGCCGGAAGCCATGGCCTTGTTTGACTGACCGCCCCATCGATCTGGAATGAGCAGCATTATCGGTACATTGAATCGCTCAAAAGAAAGCCCTTTGCGTATAACAGTTACAGGTATGACAGCGACTCCGTGGCCGCTTGGTGGTGCGAGTTGTGGAAGTGGATAGATCAGTTCTCCGTGCGCATGGCTTGCCCCCGTTGACGGTCTTTGCTTGCGAGGGTGATAGGGGCGAAATTCCCACCCCCATTGAAGGGTGGAAGTTGTGGGGGGATCTCCAGAGCAGCGAGGGAAATCCCACCCGTGCTCCGGCGCGGTTTTCTGGACTACCGGTTCCGCCCGTGGCCCAGTCGCTGCGGCCGAGCAGCTGGGCCTTGGGCCGGATCCTATGGCGCAGGCGGATGATCTTACAATCTGGCAGCGGCCATAGGGAACTTTCGGGGCTGGCCCCATCGAACTCACTGGTCAGTCGCCCGCGGAAGGCACCTTTGCCGTCGGGGACAAGGCGGGCCCGTCTCGGGAGCGCAAAGAAGCCCCTCAGGCGGTTCATCCGCTTGCGCCGGTCCTATTTTCGCTGCGCCCCGATGAATGCGAATATTGAGTTTTGGCATGCCCGCTTCATCTCGCCGCCGTGAACTCTGCGCGCGCGAAGGATCGCACCGCGGGGGTTGAGATCCCAGGCGGGAAACTTATCTACATCCTCAAACCCAGTGGTTCTGAGGACCAGTCGCTCCCTGATTTGGAAGAACCCCCGGCCTGTTTATGCTCCCTCACATTCGAGGCCCGCGCCAAAAGCGCGGCGCCCCAGTGCGTGATGGGCCGCGCGCAGGGAGCGCGCAGCGGCGAGGAGACTTGCGAGCCGTCCCAATACCCGAAGGATTGCATTGACCACATCTGGAAACTGCCTGAGTTGCCCCTCGAGCGGCGGCGCTTTAGGGTGCTTGGGATAACGCGGGAGTTAGTCGCGAAGGTCATTTCGAGCGGCCGCCGCGCGGCTTTTCCCGATGGGGGCGTAGTGGAGCAGATTCCGCTTGGAGCGGAACGCTGCCCTCAGCAGAGAAGGATCGACGCTGCGCGCTTGACGCGGAGGTCAGAGCGGCGGCGCAGTGCTCAGACTTAGCCGAGGTGGACGCCAAGGATCTGGGTTTGAGTTCAAGTCCCAGGAGCCCGCCCTCGCTTCTGGCATGCACTCGCGCTTCGCTGAGCTCGGCGCCCAGTTCACGGGGGCCGAGGGAGGGATCTTCTGGCGAGAATGCAGGACCGCGGGATAAGATGGCGGCTGAATGCGACCAACTATCTGCCACGACTGACCTCGGCGTCGCCCGCGCTCGCAGAGAAAGTAGGTGGCCCGGCGTCGGCTCAGCCGACGGCGCGGAGCTCATGGATGCCGACGAAGACGGCGAATCTGTTGCCGGTAAGAAGACTGATAGAGTACGCGCTCTGGGCACTGCGGCCGCTGCCAGCTCGGCCGGTAGCGCCGCCCCAGCGTTCGTTCGTGGCCAGCCCGGCGAGCGCGCGCGGTGCTCTGGGCTCGGACAGCGCAATGCAGGTGGATGGTGCCCGTTGTGCGACTGCCGTGTCAACGGGTAGCCTTCGCAATGGGGAAACGTGGCTCCTGAATCCTCCTCCGACACCCCCCAGATCGCCGATCGTTTCAACCGTCGCCTCCGAAAAGACCTGCTCCCACCAGGGGCTCCAGTGGTTCGCCGCCACCCAAGGCTAGACGCATTCGCATCGGCGACGTCGCGATCACTGTGGAAGGACCGTCAGTTGCCACAGTTTACGCGACAGCATTGGCGATGAATCAGAAAGGTCGTGATATGCAGAGGGAGCATGACAACAAGTATTGAAACATGGGGCACCGATCAGCGACGCGGGGGAGGAATGGACGGTGGGTGTACCACCAGTACCATCGCAAGTGGCAGTGGTGGAGCAGTCGCGATTACAAGTACAAGCTCTTTCCCATGAAGGTAAAACGGTACAAGGCAATACAGAGTGGATACCACATAATTACAATCCGGAGATCGGTGTTTGGACGAAGATAATATGATCGATTTCTGTTTATTGTAGGAGCGTGCGGTTGAACTGGACGTTGCCTTGGATTCGAGCACGTCTTTGACCACGAAAGGAACGCAAGGCTCAGCCGCATGCTGCATGGTAGCTACGCCTTCTTGAACATCAAGACGCAGCTTCTGATTTAGAAAATTGAGCTGGCGCATTTTTTTTGGGGGGGTGCGTCAGCTTCGGCCCGCTTCAGGGATTTGCCTAAAGTAGATGTGATACGCCCCGGGCGCCGTAGAAGCGTTTTTGGGGTCGGTGCGGGGGGGGCCAAGGTGCCCGGGGATTGCGTGAAGTTTGGCAGCTCCGAATGGATGTGTGGCTAAGCCTGCGCATCCTGCCACGGGGGGATCAATACTTATGGTTCCGTCCATGCCGTCGCCCACCGCTGCCGCCGCCCTTGTCAAACGCTGCTGCTGGTCATCGCGTGGACCGCAGCAACTTCGGATGCGAGTATGTGAGAAAGTGTGCGCGCGCGATCCCCTCCGCGCGCCTACATCACCACATGTTGTTGCCAGTGTTTGCTTCATTGATAGTATAACAATATGGCTGAGCCCGTGGATATCCAATTTACTGAGATAGTAAGTTAAGGGGCGATCGTAGAATAGTCCCATATATCAATCAGAGTGCCAAAAGCTTATGACCCATTAGTGAAGAATACGATTCTCCAGAACAGAAGCGCGATCCCTTACGTGCCAGCACTACTAGGGGAATCGGTGTTATTGGCCTATTCGGGCGTTTTTGGAGGTGTGTGTTGAGCACCCCGTGGGCCGTCTTGATTGCCTCTTGGCCTGAGTTGAGCTACGTCAGGCACTCTCGGGGCCATCTCGCGCCGCCTTGGACGCATATGGGACCACCTGGGCGACACCTGGTGGCCTGCTGGAGGTTACTCTTGGAAGCCATGGAGCGCATCTTGGACGCCTGGGAGACCGCCAGGGGTCGGGCCGCCCGCGGAGCCTCGGGAGAGAGGGGGCGATGCATTCGGGAGTCTGCGGCCAATGGGTGGGGGGGATTGGGGGGTCAATACAGTCGGACCGAGGTATGGTATCAAAGTCGGTTCGGGGAGGGTGCCCCCTGTGTTCCTCATGTTTGTGTGTGCGTCCTGTGGAGGGCACCCTTGGGTGTTCCGTTGGTTTTGGCCGACCGATGGTCTCATGTTTTGTTGGTGATGTTTTGCTGGGCCCAGGTCCGGTTGTAGAATACAGAGATTTTGCATGAGGAATATTAGGGGCTTCGCGCGGCGCGTAGTAGCTGTATTGTTTAGTCTACACGTCAGCCCCATAAACTACAGGTCGACGCTCGGGTGGCGATGCTTTCCCGTCAGTCCGAGGTAGATCCGGTTTAATTCCGACGTGAATCCGACGTGGACCCGACGTACATCGGGTCTCAAGTCGTGTCGACGCGGCTGCGACCCCAGCGCGGGCGTTCGAGGGTGAAAACATCGGCGATGGCCCAGGGTCGGCCAATATGGAAGATCTGATGTGGCGATGGAAACGCCGCCGACCGTGGAAGCTCGGACGATCCACGCGGCCTCCGAAACGAACGCCCGGGTCGTCACGACACGAAGCTGCCGCACGTGATCTGGGGCTCCCAGTGTGCATTCTACGTTGGGCGCCGTCCTGTTCACGAGCTGGACGTGTATCGCTTGTCATTTTCCTTCCCTTTTCAAGAGGCTGGTGGGAGTTCAATCTACTTCCGACGCCTTCCCGCTTCATAGTTCTACCCACCTCTTCCGAACGATGAGTAAGGAAAGCTACATAAGCCTACGCGTTCAACGGTCCGCGTTGATTTTCTTGGATCTGCCCGCGGCCCCCAGAAGCTGCACGCCGAAAGGTCACTGTTTCCCAGGGGGACCCTTTTGCACAGCCAGGCATGGCAATGGCGACTCTGTCCATCGCCACCCCCACTTACTGTTTTTTCGCCACCCTCCCCTTCTGCTCCCCTTGTCCCCCCTCTTCAATTTCCGACCTTCCAGCGTTCGATTTCTTGTTTCTGGTGTGTGGTACGACACCTACATTGACGACAGAGTGCGAGCAAACCTGTAGGGCACCGACGCCGGACAAGGAGTATTCCCTTTACGTCCTGCCCTCCCTGGCGTCCCCTCGCCGACTTGGACTACGATCGCTGATGGTTCCGGCCCACCCGCGCAGGCCTAACAGGCCACGCCCGCGCAGGCCTTACAGGCCTAACAGCGCGCTCATCACCGGCGCGCTCGCTTGCTCGTTTCTTGCTGCAGTCGCAGCTCACGTGTCGTTGCTGTCGAAGTCGCCTCGAGTGTACCGAAGGTGTCCCTCACCCGAGGTGTCCCCAGGATTTCTGGGGAGGCCCCGAGGGCCTCCACGGCACCCCTCACGTGGTCCCAGAGGGCCCCAGGGGTTTCAAGATCGCGCGAAAAGCGCTCGTTGGGCCAGGACCTATTCTGGCAACGCCCTCGTCGCTGTCGCTGTCGCTGTCGCTGCTCCTCGCTGGGTCGGCCGAAGGTGGACGGCGTCACCGCTGCCAGAAGAGCCAGAGAGGCGGCCACCGCTGCTCTGGTCGCGAGGCTGGAGAATCGCACTGGGCTTGCTGCCGCGGCGGCGAGCGCCGCGGCGGCTGCCTCGCCCCAGGAGGGAACGGGAGCGGGGTGGGAGGTGGGGGGACGCGAGCGGAGTGAGGGTCCTCCTCCTCCTCCTCCTCCTCCTCCCTGTCCTCCTCCTCCTCATTCTCCTCCTCCTCCCTGTCCTCCTCCTCCTCCTCCTTCTCTTCCTCCTCCTCCTCCTCCCTGTCCTCCTCCTCCTTCTCCGCATCTTTCTGCTGCTCCTCCTCCCTGTCCTCCGCACGCAGCTTGCATGTGCCCGACTACGCATAACACGATGGGGTCTTTCTATGGCACGAGCGCGCCTAGCTTGTCCTCACCTTCCTCGTCCCGATCCTCTTCCTCATCCCTCTCCCCTCTGTCCTCTTCATGGAGAAGCATGTGAGGCTGCCCTGAGGGCGTGCAGGTCCAGCTATAGGCTCCTTTGTCATCCCCTCGTTCCCCTCATCGCCCATCTCTCCGAATTCGACCTCGTCGCCTGTGCCATCCTTCGCTCTGGACTTGTTGTCTGCAGCCCCTCCAGCACCCGGGTCAGGAGTCTCGACCGCCTCCCATGTGAGATCCTGGGGTGGCGGCCCGGGCCCCACCAGACGCCCTGACGAGGCCCCGCCAAGCCTGAGACCAGAGGAGCTCGCGCCGTGAGAGGCGTGATGCAGACCCACACAGCCAGGAGCTGTGCAGCTCAGCCTCGCGACGCGCTGGGACGTAGGGTTCGGCGGGGGGGTCCCGAGGCTCTGCACTGGCTCGAGGCACCCATTCAGTTTTCCTGCAGTGTCATAGTATAGATGTGTCTTCAACGTTTTCTGTTTGCCGACCGCCAGGGCGCTGCTTCTGCGTGCGCATGCGGGATAAACAGGCTCTGGCGGAAAATAGGTCATGGCTTGCACGTGTGCAGAGACACCTGGGCATCATCGGAATTGGGACTCTTCGGCAGCAGTGGACTGATCGGATCCAGCCTTGGAGGGCGGCCTGGGTCCGCCTGGTCACGTCAAATGTTTTCTACGTCTGCGAGGGGCGGGATCACCCGCTGGGACCAGACTGGATGGACAGCCCGTCTCTCGCCCGAAGGATCCAGAGATCCCAGTATTTACAGATCCAGCTGCCTGCGGCACACCCCGCCACCGTGCCTGCGAAACAGCGCAGCAGGAAAGAGACCGAGTGTAGGCAAGGCGAGGCAAGGTCCGATCGCGCGCGGAGGCCGCACGCGCATCGCAAGTGGAGACAGCGTTGGAACATACGCAGTGAAGCACACCTTTCTGAAGAACGAAAGTTGCAGGCAAGCTACTGCGAGATCATGAAATCGACGAAGTCATCTTCGAACTCTGCTGAGTCCAAAACTCGGGTATCATGAAATTGTTATGCTAATGACGTGGCATGTTTGCTACTCAGATACGGGCATATGTTCTCAGCCTCAGTCCAGCTTGTCCTTGGGCGTCGCCCGAGAGAGGAACCCATTTCATCAGTGCCTTCGGCCAAGATAGGTCGTCGTGAAGGTGAGCCGCTACTGCGTCCTGCCAACTATCGTCGACCAATCAAATACGCGATGCTGCGAAAGAGCATTCTGAAGTAGATGTTTCTCAGTCGGCCAGCGTCTTCCAAGTCTTCCTCTGGCCGTCTCCAGAAGTCAACTACTTAGCGCAGCATTGCGGATCTTTCAGAGGAAATCCTCATGCGTTGCTGCTGCGTCAGCGCGCTCGTAGCTAACCCGTACGTGGCTGTGGACGAGAACGTTGTCGAAGAGACGAGGCTGTAACTTGATAGAAACCTTTCTTGTTGGTCAGGGCCTTCAGCTTCGCATGGTACTTCGCGCACGCGCACTCCGCGAGATACCATCCAGCATGTTCCCGGACAGCTTGCGTCCCAGATATTTATGCATGCCGGTGCCAAGCATTACCGTTAAATTCTGCTCACCGAAAGGCACCGTCAGTGCATCCGTTGCCATGGAGTACCCAGGCCTCTTCGCTAACCTGTTGGTTTTGCTTGCGCTCAGTGTCAGGATATATCTCGACAGCTCTTCGCATACAATCTCCAGCGTAGACACTGCAACGCCAGTAGTTATGGCATACAACAGTAAATCATCCGCGTACCATATAGTTGTCAGTCGTTCCGGCCCCCCGACGTCAATGCCATTCCCACGAATTCGGTCCTTGAATGGGATCGGGGGAGTGTAGATATCACGTCCGAAAATCTGGCGAACATCTTCCCTTGAATCTCAGGCCGCAGTGCAGGGGCCCCCTCAGATCTCCAAAGCAGAGCCCCCTGGCGAAATCTCCAAGCACGCAAGCAGCGCTGGCCTCAAAGAGTGGGCACCGGAACACTTCCGACGAAAGTGGAAATGGGCGTCCAGAGTCGCTACATCCAGCTATTCGTCTTGGGTGAGGAAGGTCACCACCTGGAGAGACTCAGAATGGCAGGCCGCCGTGTCCGAGCTGGGATCGTCACGCCTCACACGCCCGTCGTCGCGACCTTGGATGCGGTTCGAAGACTCTCTGCGGAGATTCTGCAAGGCTTGAGGCCTGGGCAGCTGGCAAACAACTGCGAAAGAACCACAAGAGTGGCATCGCAGAGCTGAGGATTATGTTGCTTGGGCTACTGACATTCACTGGTGAGATGGACATGTTCTTCTGAGGCGTCCCGCCCGCCCCGGGCCTTAGACGGGACTTCCTTCCTTCCTTCCAAGCCAAATCTCCACCGAAATCTCATGGAAATCTCCAGGATCCCCCCTTCTGGTGGAAATCTCCGGCGAAATCTCCGAGCCGTTCCGCCCGCACGAGAATCTCCAGCGAAATCTCTTGGGTTTCCAGAGTGTGTCAGGATGTATTGGAATGTATTATTGGGATGTAGGACATCTCAGTGGCAATCTCTTTGGAAATCTGTTCTGGGAGATTCCCCGCGAGATTTTCCGGGAGATTTCCGAGGGGCAAGATTTTCCGAGAGTTTTCCATTGAGGTTTCCTAGGGGCAAGATTCTCCAGGAGATTTCCCAGGAGTTTTTCCGAGAGACTTCCGAGGTGCAATTTTTTTTGATGATTTCCATGGAAGGTCTCGAGGAGCAACATTTCCCGGGAGATTTTCCGGGAGATTTCCGAGGGGCAAGAGTTTCCGAGAGATTTCCCCACGAGGTTTTACGAGGGGCAAGATTTCCCGTGAGAGTTCCCAGGAGATTTTCCGGGTGAGTTCCGAGGGCCAAGATTCGGTTTGAGATTTTTGTGAGTTCAGTCGGGCGTCCAAGATTTGTTTCAAGATATTTTGGTTCGGACGTGTTATCTAGGCTTTCCCCTGATCTCATCCTTGAATCGCCGCACGGCGTGTCCCAGATCGCTGTTGCATAAAGAGCGACGACAGAAAGTCTCCTTGCTTGCCGCACCTGGTGACCTCATAAAGCCCACTGCCTTCGACGCTCCCACGTTGGTTGTGGTATATGGCAGAGAGAAGCTGGATGCATTTCGCTGGCACGCCCTGCTCGTCCAGCGCGTTGAACAGGAGCGGGTGCTCAATGCGGTCGAAGGCCTGGGTCAAGACGAGGCTGAGAACCCAAAGTGCTTGCCCCACTCGCACGATTTGCAGCAGAACTCTTCCAGAACAAGGAAGGCGCAATCAATTGTTTTTCCCAGGCGAAAGACATTGGTCCAAACACTGGTGTTTCGAGTTTGGGTTGAAGACGTTGGAAGAGTAGACATGCAAATGCGTTGAAAGTTATTCGCACAATCGCTATGGGGCGCCAGTTCTTGACATCATGTTCGTTGCCAGCCGTCGGAAGCATGACGAAAAGAGCCCCCTGCCAGTATGGATGAAAGTCTCCAGGACTAAGCAAAGAATTCAAACATCTCAGCATCGCTTGAAGCAGACCGTCCACGAAATCGAAGAGCATGTCCAAAGTACTCCCGGCTGAATCTGAACATCTGCCTCGGCGCATTTTCCGGAATGCGAAATGCAATTCGTCCATGGAGACCCGCGGGATGTCATCTGGACCTTGGTCGCACACTCCGTCGATCCATTCCCTTCTCTCCTCCGGCAGGTCCGTGTCCAGAAATTTTTTCAAACAGTTCTTGAACTCATCACTGCTGATCGGACAGTGCACTTTCAGCCAGACCGGGCGCATGTGGATCTCCGGCGATGTATCCAAACCGTTTGAATTCATGTAGTATCTTCACAGTTCGCGAATCACAATGTTGTCGAAGTACTTACGATGTCCCCGGCTCGGCTGATCAACTTGGATCGTCTACGGCGTTCTGCCAGCGTTTTACATCTACGTCGTGAAAAGGTGAGGCTTTCGCTTTACGCGGCTCATCCCGTGTACGAGCTACTGTTGATGTTGCAAAAACGTGTTCGATGTCACAAAGCGCATCGCAAGATGATGCGGCCATATGAGCGTTCGGGGACATAGATAACACCTACACCATTTTTGTCAGGAGTTGGAACCCACCGTTTTTTTTGGCAGTTTCGGGCGAGGTGTTTCGGAGGCAAACCTGGGAAGCAGACGCTATCTCTCGCAGCCCGGCGATCAGATCCGAGACCGAGGTTGTGTACTGGACGGCAAGCCGTGCATAAAAGGCTAGCGTCAAGTGGCACAACGTCGATTCGCCGCTTCAGCCAAATATTGGAACGGAACGTTCCCTGAACATCACGTGACTCGTCATTTGAGCCGTCGATATCCCCAGCACTCGACCAATATGTGTTCAAACACGAACCTGCTGAGTAGATCGCAGGTACAGTGGAGACCCATGCCAAGAAACACCCTGCCTGCCTCCAGGGTGCCATGGGTTTCTTGGGTTGTGATGGTTTTGCGATGGACAGCGTGAGGTTCCCACGCCAAAAACCAATGGACGTTCTGTCCTGGAGTCTCAGGGTTGGATTTCTTGTGGAAGGTTTCGTGTGGACTGGCCTCCACTGTGCAATGAGAGCTTGCGTGTTCAAGTCTCCAGCCACTATCTCCTGTGGCACCGTCTCGTCCGACGTGCTTCGGATGCCATTTGAGCGTAGCAATCCAGCAACATGTCTTGCGGATGTCCAGCTTGCGGCAGGTACACGT